ATGCAACAATGTCACCAGAAACGCCTAAATCAAATTTCCCATAATCAGTGTATACTATAAAATCTAAGAGAAATCCTGTTTCGCAGTCCGCTAATTCAAATATCTTGATGCCAAATCGATGTCTCTTCAATGATAAGAATTGTTTGAATTTTAGCTTCCCTTTCCATAAGACTAAACTTTCGTCAATGCAAAGCTTTTCACCAGCAATAATAGTATTACTAAACTTTTCTTTCAAATGATCTATCACTGGTTTGATTTTTTTCAAAGGATGATTGGAAACTTCTTCATTATTAGAAAAGTGAAGGTATCGTAAAATTTGAAGATATCTATTTCGAGATAGACTTTCGCCGTATATTGGAGTGAATAGCAGTGGATCTCGGCTCCAATAATCCTTTAGTTGCCCTTTTACAACATGACCCATGTTTATTTATAAAGCAATGATTATCCATAATTCGTCTTCAGTGATAAGAGTCCATGGCTTCATATGTATTCGATCCGGTTCGGGATTTTGTTCTTGAAAAAGATTGGTTTGTTCTACAATCAAATTTACAAGAAATGTATCAAAAAAATATTTCAAACATTCTAATGGAGTAGGTTCGTCTAGAGACACGTGATCACGAATATGTGCTTCACCAGTAAAAGTTTTTATAGATGGGTAAAAATAAGGATCATAGTGTACATCTGGTATATTCTCATCACGTTCGTTATCAAGTAAATCGACATCACATGCAATAGTTCTGTCTGTAATAACATCTTCTTCAGGCTCTGACTCTCCACTACTCCAAGCTTCGTCATCACCTGTATTCATTGTATAGCAAAAGTAATAAAGTACGAGGAAGATAGAAAGTAACGGAAAATGTTGTATCAGCACAAGTGAAAAAATAAGTGTATCTCGAGCCTGACCTAACAGAGAACGCGAGGCGACAAGTGCTCTTACGCGCCGTTCTCACGTATGGCAAGGACGGACGACGACAAACGGGCAGGCCTAATCAATGAATATATTTTTGATCTGCTATTTACAATTTTGCCAAATTGTTTTACTAATAAATAGCAACTTCAAAAACCCCAAATGAAAATAAA